TGGATGTATCAGTAGTTTATGCCTTTGTCTTGTTGAGTAGTGTTCCATTGTATGGGTACGTCACAGTTTACCTAGCCATCAATTGAAGAACATTTGGGTTATACCCAGTTTTTTGATATTATATATGAAGATACTACAAATGTCTGTGTTCAGATTTTTGTGTGAACATAAATTTTCATTCCTGTTGGGTAAATACCTAGGAGTGTGATTATTTGGGTTGAATGGCAAATGGATATTTTAACTTTAAAGAAATGTTTTCCAATGAGCCTGCATTCCTACTAGCAGTCTAGGAGAGTTCCAGTTACTCCACATCCTCTGCTCGTCAGCAATGGCATTCATTGTCTCTCTCTCTCTTTTTTTTTGGCTATTCTAAGAAGTATATAGTGATATCTCACTGTGTTTTTAATTTGCATTTTCCTAATGACTAACAATGTTGGACATCTTTTCATGTGCTTATTTTACATTTATATATCATCTTTGGTGAAAATATTCAAATCTTCTGCTGAATTTTTAAAAATACTGGATTGTTTATATTCTCATCCTTGAGTTTTGAGAATTCTTTGTATACTTTGGATACAGGTTCTCTATCAGATATGTATATTGCAAATATTTTCTCCAAATCTGTGGCCTGTCTTTACTTTCCCTTTGTAAGTAATAAGTAATTTATGGGAGAGTACTTTGGAGACTGTGTAAATATTTTGTTCCTTATCAAACTTTTGCCCCCGGGTTTTGGCACCTATTGATTTTCTAACTCCGTCATTCCTTCTATAGTTTTTGGTTGGTATTTGATGCTAAGGAAGAGCTTCCCCTTCTTTCCTTTATTCTTCTCCTCTCTTCTTCCTTCTTTCCCCTTCCCTCCATTGTGGAGTCACAGCCCATCAGTCATCCCAGCCAGCATAGTAATTCCCCTCTTTGCCTGTTGATTCAGAGGCACGAGGAGTCCAAGACATTATATATGCTTCTCAGCGAACGAAGCTTCTGGTTGCCAAAATTTGATATTGTCAGTCTTCTGAACTCTGCCCTTCTAGTGGTTATGAAGTGGTATCTCAAAGTGATTTAATTTATATTTGCATGATGACCAACGGTATTGAGCCCTTTTAATGTGCTTATTGGCTAGTCATATTTCTTCCTTTGTGAAGTGTTCACATTTTTTGCCCATTCTTTTATTGGGTTGTTTCGTTTTAAAAATTGATTTGTAAGAGGTTTTTTTTTTTTTTTTAATGTATACATAAACGGGATATAGGCCTTTTTCAGATTTGTTTCTTTCTTTTTTTCTTTTCCCATTTGGATATAAGTTTTTTCTAGCACCATTTGTTGAAAAGACTTCCTTTTCCTAATAAATTGCTTTGCTATCTTTGTAGAAAATAAGTTGAGCACATATAAGTGTATTTCTGGATCCTCTATTCTGTTTCATGATTTAGTCTTATGCCAGTACCACACTGTGTTGATTACCATGGCTGTATAATGAGTTCTGAAATTAAGCTGTGTAAGTCCTTGAACCTTTTGCTTCTTTCTCAAGATGTTTTGGGTATTCCAGGTTTTTCGCCTTTCCATATACATTTTAGAATCAGCTTGTCAGTTTCTTTAAAAAGCCGACGGGGATTATCATTAGGATTGCATTGACTCCATAGATCAGCTTGGGGAGAATTAACATCTGCAATACTGAGTCTTCCAATCCATGAACTGACTATATCTTTCCATTTATTTAGATCTTCTTTAACGTCTTTCAGTCATATTATATAGTTTTCCACTTAGTGGCATTGTATATCTCTTATTTATTTATTCTTAAGTATTGGTTCTTTTTTGATGTTATTGCAAATGGACTTGTTTCAAAATTCCATCTTAAAACTGTGTGATGTGAGTGTATCTAATGTCATTGATTCTTTTAGCTAATGACCTTGTATTTTATGGTCGTTTATGGATCTTCCTAAATTCACTTATATATTCTAGTAGTTATTTTGTAGATAGGATTTGTTATATAGTTAATCACGTTGTCTAGGGATAAAATTAGTTTTAATTCTTCCTTTTCAATTTTAGTAAGTTTTATTTCCTTTTCTTATTGCACTGGCTAAGACCTCACAATATTGAATAGAAGGTGTGAGATTAGGCATTCTGGCCTTTTCTAATCTGAAATGCTTTGTACTTTGTTTATCCCACAGCTCAGAGAGGTCTTATTGACATTCTGTTTTATCATTGATCTCAGCATCATATTTAATTACTTTATATCATTTCCCATAAATTACAGTTATTTCATTTGTTTACTACTTTGTTGTCTGCCCCTTACACAAACCCATAAGTCTCTTATGGGAAGAACTCTGTCTTCACCAACATATAGCATGGTGACTCTTAGTAGACACTCAGTAAATGCTTTGTCAAATTAGTAAATTTTGGTAGGAACTTTTAGCAGTTATGCAGTCTATCCTCCTTCCCAGTGTTTGAATCTCCTTGGTAAAACCTAGGACAGGTATTATTTCTTACAAGATTTTTTTCATATTCTTCTTTCCCTCTTTTTCATTTTTTAGGTGGTTATATTTCAATTTCCCATAGAAACCACGTATATTTAATGCTTTCAAAAGTTCTTAATTGATCTTTTATAAAAGATAATACAATTCTTTCTACCAATTTTTGCAAAATATTTTAGTGGCAAATTGGGATAGTTTGCCTTTCCTGGATGTTGCATACACTCGGAAGTTAATCTGTATTCAGGCAGTTTGCAGTGGTTCAAATATAGAAACAAGGGTAAACACATTCCACAGTTACCTAGTAAGCAGGTGTTGGGTCACTACTTTTTATTCTTTGAAATCTGAAGAAATCGCACCGATGAAGTGAACCAGTTAGGTAAATTATTTCCTTATTTTTGCCCTTTAGCTTTTGTTCTTTTTTTTTAATGTAATTTAAGTCTAATGAAGGTAAATTGCATTCAGCCTGGAACACAACGATCTAGGATGTATCCAAAAGGCAAAATATCTTTCTTCTGGCTGCCCCATTTTAACAGCTGCTGTGATAGAAAGTAATGCTTCAGTTTATGTACAGACATGAGGAAAATACTGGTTTTTTCCCCCTGTATGATGTTCCAAATAATTCTTTGGCTTATCTTACACATTGATGATGGAAATTGCATTAAAGAAGTAGGTAAACAACATATCAAGTTGGATGTTTATTCATTCAACTCCCTTTCTTCATCCTCCTCCTTCTTTCTTTCCCCTCCCTTCCAGTTTACAAGTGGAGATTTCAACAGTCCTCCACCGATAATGGAGAGAATAAATAGACATTCAGTAAGGTTTAGAGCACCCGGACAGGCCTATCAACCAACTTGGCCTAATTGCTTTTTTACTTTGTTTAATGAAACACTCCACCCTATATACTGTTTTTCTTTTTTTTTCAAGTACCCTTGAAACATTCACCTAGAGGGACCAAGTTTGGGGCCAAAACCAAGTTTCAATAAATTTAAAAGCATTGGAAGTCCTACTGAATGTGTTCTCTGACCACAACAGAATTAAACAGAAATCAATATCCCAAAAATACCTGAAAAAAAAAAACACCCAAATATCTGGAAATTAAACTACACATTCCTGAATGACTCATGAGCCAAAGAAGAAATGACAAGGGAAATTGGAAATTATTTGAAATGAATGAGAACAAAAAGTCAACCTTTCTCTTATTTAAAATAAAAATATTAACATGCAGATCGGTAGAGATTCACATCTTCACTTCTTCCTACTCGTCTGCTTCTTGAATTCCCTACTCCCTCCATATGTTGGCCCTGCTGCAGTCCCTTGACAGTATGAGCACGGCCATGCTGCTGCTGGAGCTGTGCACCCAGCCCCTGTTAGTCTGGTCTTGCCAATCTAACCAAGTAGTCCAAATACCTTTCTTCCAGTTCCACTGAACAAACATTTACCGTTTTCAAAGGTCATGTTCCTGGAAGCATGGAGGGGAATTTATGGGGCAACAACAGACAGGCTCAAGTTATATAACTCTTATGTTAACTTGAATGAAAATCTTTTCAAAGCTGCTTCCTTCCTGTCCTACCTGGGGAGTTCTGATCTACCTTTGCCCAACATTTTAGACTTTTTGTGAGTCTTTCTTCACTTTTTTTTTTTTCTGTGACTTCTGTCTCTCCTAACAATCCTTTAATTGTTTGGACCTTCTCATTGCTTTTGACTTTTCGTAATCTTCCAGTGTCTCTGCCCTCAGTCTGGTGTCAGCTTGTCCTCTCCAGCTTCATTCATTCACTGAGGCTTGACTAGGTGCAAGGCATTGAGCTGGCCACTGGGTTTGGTCCTGGGGTGGGAGACTTGTAAATCAGATAATTAACCTGGGTGAGCACTTTGGCAGAGGCATGTTGGAAGGGCCATGCAAACATTCTTTCAACACATATTTATTGGCCTCCCACTGTGTAGCAGGCACTGTGCAATGGGGGTGGTATCCTGGGCAGAAGGTACTGATTGCTTGAAGATGAGGCGTGGATCTGGGAATGGGTGATCTGCTCTGGCACGAGGTATTTGGTAGGGACTTGGAGGGACTTGAGCTAATAAGTGGTGAGAGAAAAGCCTAGAAAGGTTAGGAAAGTACTTCTTTTGTTTTTCTTAAGGGAGTTGTAGTTCTGTTTCTGTGGCGTAGCATTTATTAGCTCCATGGTGACTCTTACCAACTTCTGTATTACCTGTATCTCTGATTTCTTTGGTTAATCTTCCACTTGTTCTGGTGCCCAGTAGCACTAAGTGGTGGTAACCACTAGCACTGTTAATTGTGCATTTTTTAAAAGTGGGAGGGGGGCTGCCAAGCGAGAAGGAGCCTCAAAGCAGGGCACCAGGTGTGTGATTCTCTTAACTTTACCTGGATTAGTTCCTTTTAGGCGTTAAGTAGCCTCTTGAAACCCCCTTTTTTATTTTAAGGGTAGGGGAGGAAGAGGTTGAAACAAATGAATTTGAAAACACCCTGTGGGATAAAATTTACATTCATCGCCCACCCTGAAATTTTTTATTCTTTTTCTTTAGGTTTCTTGCTATTTAAAGATTTTTGTTTGAATGAAATTAATGAAGCTGTACCTCAGGTGAAGTTTTATGAAGAGGTAAGAAGTGACTGTTTTATCAATGCTTTTATTTCAAAAGCATATTTAAACTGTACTTTGGGAAATATTAAGACTACTAGATATCTTAGAGATTCGTCAGAAGTAATTAGTACTACAAGATATAGTTTTAGAGATGCTGACAACAACTATAAAAATCATATTTTTAAAGCTCTGTAGTGTTCTGGAATCAGTGAGGAATAGTTGGACTCAGATTCCAGAGGAGGAAGAATCTTTCAGAGGTGCACTGAGCATTACCAGCCATTTTATTTTCTGCAGAAGCACGCTGATTCTGGACACAGAAGCCGAGGTAGGGGGCTGCTACTGGGTGAAAGAGAAACTAGCAAAGGTTTTTGGTCACACATTACTAGAGTGACAAATTGGAGACTTGGTGGGAAAGGGTGGCCTCAAACCCACAGCTGGTTTTCCCAGCAGGACATTGGGAGGGGATCTGAAGAGGCAGGCCAAGAGCTTCTGGAAGACACATTGAAACCTCCCACAGCCTTGCGGTGTTAAACGGTATTGAAATGTACACCTGTTGTGGCAGGAATCCGAAAACAGAACAGGCAAGAGATGAAAACCCCACTGAAGAGCCATAACCACTTATCACCTGGGGTGGCGGCTGGTCCAGGTGTGGTGGGCAGGTGAGAATCCAGCTTTGGCCCCTGGCAGGAGGCTGCTTCTGGGAGACAGAAAAACCAGAAGAGGTTTCTGGATCTGGAGTAAAAAACAGATGAAGCTGGGAATTCCATGGCGGTCCAGTGGTTAGAACTCCGCGCTCTCGCTGCCAAGGGCCTGGGTTCAGTCCCTGGTCAGGGAACTAGGATCCCATAGCCGTGCGGTGCAGACAAACCCTCACCCTCCCGCCCCCTGCAAAACAATTAAAAACTTATAACATCAAACATATTAAAAAAAAAAAAAAAACAACGAAGCTGGAGGAGCCCCCAAAACATGATGAGTCCCATGCTCAAGACACATGCCAAGTTTTGAAGCTTGAGTGGGCCGGGGGTCCAAAAGCTATCCTGAAGACTTCTTAAGGGCAGAACTGAATCCAGTGCTGAGGAGACAGAGGTCTCATTGAACTCCATGGAGACCCAGGCCTTAGAACAGGGACCAACCAGAGGCAGACTGAGTCCTACACAAATGGCAGGGCAGACCAGCCCAGCTCAACCCCCTGTTGGGTGATGAACTCCCTCCCTACCTGTGCAACAGAGAATAAGGGGAGCTCTCTGTCTCTTTTGCAGGTAGAAAATAACAATATATAGAGACTGTCCAATCTTCACCATACAGTAAAAAATGATTTTCCACCTAAGAAGCAAGATCACATGACTTATAAACAAGGCAATAGAAGCAGACCCACAGATGAATCAGATATTGGAGTTAGTTGACAAGTACCTAAAAATAACTGTAAATATGTTCCAGACAATAGAGAAAAAGATGGACAAAATAATTAGATGGAGGAATAGAGAGTTTCAGCATAATTTGAATGTATTGTGGAAAACCAAACAGATATTCTAGAACATAAAGTATTTGAAATTAGAACCTAGTGGTTAGAACCAATAGCAGATTATCACAATGCGAGACAGGATTAACGAATAGGGAAGCAGGTCAGTAGGTCATCTCAAACTGAAACACAGAGAAAAAAGAATACAAAAAAGAAATAAGGGCATTAGAGACATGTGAGGCATACCTAAAAGGTCTAACACATGTAAAGTTGGACTCCCAGAAAGGAAGAGAGAGAATGGGACAGAAGCAGTATTTGAAGATATAATACTAAGAATATTACAAAATGATGAAAGTCAGCAGCTTACAGATTCAAAAAACTTAGAACACCCCAAGCAGGATGAGTACAGAGGAAACGTATCTTTGCACATCAATATAAGACTGTGGAAACCTGTGACAGAGAGAAAATTTTAAAAGCAACTAGAGGTTAGAAAAAGACACCTCATTTTTAAAGGGGCAGTAATATGAACAAAACGACTGTGACATATTAAAATAAATGATTAAGAAAAAAGAAAGACAGACAGTGAAATGGCCATCTTTCAAGTAATGAGAGAAAAAAGCTGCCAACCTAGAATTCTTTCCTCAGCCAAAACTTCCTTCAAAAATGAAGGTGAAATAAAGATATTTTCAGACAAAAACCAAGAGAATTTGTCAGTAGTGAAACTGCATTACCATAAATACTAAAGGGAGCTACTGTAAGCAGAAGGGAAATTACCCCAGATGGAAATGCAGGAAGGAATGAAAGACATCATAAAGGGTAAATATGTATGTGAAATATATGAATGTTGACCATACATAACTATAATATGTTTTTAGAGTTTAAAGTGTGTGTAAAACTAAAATGTATGAGAGTAGCACAAAAGGCAGGAGAGGGGTTAATAAAGTTAAAATATCTTAAGATTCTAGGATTATTGGGGATAGTAAAAATAATAATTTGCCTTGACTTGTAAAGGATGCATATTGTAATCTCTAAGGTTAACTTTTAAAAGAATAAAATGTGTATGTTAAAAGAGAGGAGATGTGGAATAAAACAACATTGTATTAATCCAAAAAAAAAAAAAAAAAAGAATAAAAGGTGGACATAAAGTAGGAGGTCAAATTGAAAATAAAGAGTAAGGTGGTAACTATAAATTCATCTATATAAATATTGATGATTACATTTAATATAAATGGACTAAATACTCCCAGTAAAAGACTAAGTTTGTCAGACTGGATAAATAACCAAAACCATGTTATATACTGCTTATAAGTGAGATGCTTTATTTATGTATTTTAAGATATTTTATTTTTTGATTAACCTATAGTTGCTGTACAATATTATATAAGTTACAGGTGTACAGTATAGTGATTCAATTTTTAAAGAAGTGGTATGCTTTAAACAGAAGGATGGAAGAGGATATGTAATATACACACTAACTGAAGCAAAGCTGGTATAGCTATACTAATATCAGACAAAGTACATGGCAATGCTACTTTGAGATAAAGAGAGATTATTTCATAATGATTGAGGAGTCAGCATCTGTATCTTACAAATAACAGAAGTTTAAAATATTTAAAGCAAAAATTGGCAGGAAGATCCAAAACAAAATAATTCTACAACCCTAGTGGGACACCCACATACTTCAAGAACTTGTAGAACAAACAGACAAAAAATTAGTAAGGATATAGAAGATCTTAATAAAGTGATGAATAAACTTGACCTAATTGACCCAGCAGAAACAGAGTTTTGCATTCTTTAAAGTACATATGAAACATTTACCAAAATAGATCATATGCTGGACCCTAAAGAAAACTTTCTACAAATTTCAAGATTGAAATTGTTCCGAGTATGGTCTCTGACCACAGTGGACTTAAGCTCAAATTTAGTAACAGAGTTAAGAAATCCTTAGCTGCCTGGAAACAAATAACTTCTAAATAATTTAAGGGTCAAAGAGGAAATTAAAATTGAAATTAGAGAATATATTAATTGAAATATATTTAAGAAATGACATATGCTAATATTATTAGCATGATCTGCCTTTACCCTAAAACATTTGAAATGGTCCAGAGAAAGCATGGCATAATTAGGGCTGATATGAGTACTCTTTGTGTCTTTGAAAATTGGAAGAATATTCCCTTTTTTCCTGGTTTATTGATAAACATGAAAATGACATTTTTCTACATTTAAAAAATTATATTAATGTATTTCCAAGAAGAATGATCAAATGATGATGCACATTTAGCATCATGTGAAAAAAAAGTAAGCTAAATCCAAAAGTCTTACACTGAGTACGAAGTGACTTTATTATTTCAGTTTGAGTCAGGCATTTTATCTGGACGAGACTCACAGCTTGATGTGTCAAAAAATTTTTTTCTTTCCTGTGTTCTTAAAAGCTTCTCTCCAATTTCAGCATGTACTCAGCTGCTTTGTCAAAGAGAAAGCAATCTCCTTTAGTAGATGAAACAGATGGGCAACCTACGTAGTTATTTCTTAAGCACTTCTGGCCAGTATGGTGGTGACTACTGCTGATGTGTTTCCATTTGAACTTTAGACATCGGAGTTTCTCTTCGTTGGCTTGTTCCGCAGCTCTTCTCTCCTCTCTCCTGGTCTGGTGTGATGGATCTGGCCTATCAGGTTATCCCCTTGGAGGAAAATGCTTCAGGGCTCCTCAGCAACTTGCTTTGTGTTCTTTAATTGACAATACCATCCACCTTGGAGTTTCAGATACAAGTTGTGTAAGTCAGTACAGCCTCCAAGATGGAAGTTATCAGTAATTCTGACTCCTTGGTTTCACCAGCCTAGTGGATTTTTTAATTTCTAGTTTTATAATCCTGATCCCTAGAAAACTCTGTTGTGAGATATCTTGCAATGTGTATGTTGTCCATTGTATTTCCATTCTTCTGTGTCCCCAGACTCTTAGTGGTTACCCATTTTCCTGTGGTCTGAAGTCCTAATTGCTTCTTCCAACACTCACATGTCTCTGCGTTAGTTATCGCTTACCTTTCCGTCTTTATCTTTCACTACCTTCTCACGTAGACCTTCCAGTAACCAATATTACCTGAACCCACCGAGCCCAGTTCTTCTTTTTATTACTTTCCTTATGTCCTTCCCCCAGCCTAGGATGCTGTTTCCCTTTCTCGGCTTGTGGAAAGCCTTGCTTCGTTTAAGGCCAAGGTCAGTTTCTGTATTCTCCAGTAAAGCCTGTCTGTACGGTCGTCCCAGTCTTCCGTGATTGCTTTGCTTCTCTGATTCTTACACTGTCTGTTGCCTGTAATGCCCGTGGGATACTTAATATATGCTTGCTGCTGGTGTGTGTGCGTCATCAGTATTTTCACTTGACCGTTGTTTGACTCCTAGACAGCAGGCCCAGCTAGGATCTAGGTGCAGCTGTGCTGTGCCCTCTCACTTGCTGTGGGATACGGTGCTGGTCACTGAGCAAACCCTGAAGCATCTACCTTGTGTCAGACCCAGAGCTTACAAGTGTGAACCAAGACACTGTCCTGTACTTGAGCTCATAGAA